ATCTTCTAAGTTGTTGGCTACAAATCTGTCTAACAACTGATCCATTGAAAGTAGTCTTAAGGAAAAAAATTCTCCCATCCTCCCAGAACTCTCAACTGTGTATTAGTGTGTTCTTTTCTCTCACATCCTGAGATTTGTGGTGTCTTATGATCTGGTATCTGAGTCAGGAGCATCAGTTTAAATTCTGAGGAGAACAAAATTGCAAAGTTTTAATTCCTGTCAATTAATGGGAAGGGAAAGACAGGTGAGGGGCGGGTGCGTGGAGCAGGAAGGGGCCTCTCCTCATCTTCCAGGGCCTCAGTATTCTAGGGATTGTTCTTGGAAGTCCCTGAATGGTTCATCCAGCTGAGAAGAGATAAACTCCTAATGGGCAGGTCTTAGAAAAGCACTGCATTGTTTGCTAGCTACGCACCTGGAGCTGGACGTTTAGGGGTAACATATTGGTGGAGAGGGTAAGATGACTATGTTGAGAAAACAAGAGTTGTATCACCCAAACCTCCCAAGAGGCCAGAAGCACACATATTCGCACATACTCACACTCACACTAGTTCTGGGATAAATGATTGCTGACCTCTGCTCTTAGGATATTCTAGTCTTTCTTTCAATTATATTAAGTAATTTCTGTACTCTTAGAAAACTAATTGCAAGTTTTAGGATATTATAATTAGTGAACATTTACTTTATACAGGGAAGTGTACTCTGGTTGGTCAATTAAAGGTCTTTTATTCCACATCCAGAATTGTTTCCATTATACCAGAGTTGGTGTATCCATAAACCACAATGCTAAGCTCATGCATAAATCAGACCAATTCTAAACTTTCAATAACACATATTAACATTCAATATTATTGGGGTTTAATGAAATATTGGGGAAAGAATTTTTTCTTTACTTTTGAGGTTAGAATTACATTTGAGTATTAAAAATAAGTCAATTCTGTAGACCACTGATGTTGCCCTTTTTTATTCATTTTTAAAATTTCATTTTTATCATTTCTTTTAAATAACTTTTTAAAATATAGGTTAAGCTTTTTTAAAAATATATATTTTATTGATTTTTCACAGAAAGGAAGAGAGAGGGAAAGAGAGTTAGAAAGATCGATGAGAGAGAATCATCGATCAGCTGCCTCTTGCACACTCCCAACGGGGGATGTGCCCGCCACCAAGGTACATGCCCTTGACCGGAATCGAACCTGTGACCTTTCAGTTCGCAGGCCGACGCTCTATCCACTGATCCAAATCGGTTTCGGCTAGGTTAAGCTTTTTTTTATGAAAATCTTTCTATAATGTGCTGCCGTCCAAAACTCATGCTGGACATAACTGTTATATTGATTATGCAATCATTATGAGCATAACATATCGGTATGCTTTCTTATGTCTATAAGGAAGAGTGAGGAAATGAAGAGTAGGCTGAGCAAAAGCCTAAAACTTTTCAAAATCATCTGTGTTCAGTTATATGAAGAGATTCCAAAGGATTTCCCTTATCTGTGCCACATGTGTGAAAGCATGCACACTTCTGAGGATATGGATACACACACAGGGAATTTTAATGACATAAGTCTAAGTTTGAGTATTATCGATAGTAAAAGATTTATTAATATAGATAGAAATGTGCTCACAAAGCCAACGTTTGGTAACCACGCTGGAAGGTAAAAATAGATACTAAATACACATATTGGCTGCATTGTGAAATGAAGTAGATAGTCTAAGTAGCCAGCTTCTTCCCAGTGCTCGAAAAAGGTGAAGAGATCTTAAGATAGTATTGGAAAGTTCCAAATCTTACTAAAGCAAAAATATTTTGGAGGCAAGTTCTGAGGAAAAGTTTACCTTATTAAATGTTTACATGGCAGATGCAGAGGATGAGAAGTAGCTGCAGGAGCCTTGGACCTGTAAGTCTGAAAGCATGTTTATCAGAAACTCAAACAAGTCAGTAGGGAATACAGCAAATATCTGATTCCTTAAGTACAACCATATTTTGAGAGTAAAATTCTCATTATAATAAGCATTTCCATTATTTAGATATGTAGCTTTATCTTTAATACAACATACACTTAAGATAATATCTCTAATTTTTTGAAGTCTTATCCTGTAGCAGAGAGTAAACAATGCCTTCAATGAATACTTGATACTTTAAACATATATTAAATTCTTCCTATGGCCCAGGTATGAGCACTTGAGATGATGGTAATGAAAGTGGGAAGAAGGCGATTGGCTGGCCTGAGTTGCCTTTCATAGCCCTTAACTAAATCCTGCGGTCAGCAAACTGCAGCTTGGGAGCCATATGCGGCTCTTTGGCTCCTTGAGTGTGGCTCTTCCACAAAATACCACGGCCTGGGCGAGTCTATTTTGAAGAAGTGGTGTTAGAAGAAGTTTAAGCTTAAAAAATTTGGCTCTCAAAAGAAATTTCAGTCGTTGTACTGTTGATATTTGGCTCTGTTGACGAATGAGTTTGCCGACCACTGATAATTCCTCTGGTGACTGGGATGTTTGTGAGTTCCTTAAGCCTGGCCCAATACAACTTGTGAGTTTAGAATAGACACCTATTATGGACTGAATGTTTGTGCACTTTCCCCACCCCCAATTCATATGTTGAAGCCCTACCCTCCCGCAAAAAAAAAAAATGGGGCCTGAATGAGGTCATTGGGGTTAGGCGGGGTCATGAGGGTGGAGCCCTCATGATGGGATTAGTCCCCTTATCAAGAGAGGCCAAAGAGCTCACTAGCTCTCTCTCTGAGAGTGAACAGAGAAGAGGGGGTGGGAGCACACTGCAAGATGGTGGCTTCCAAACCAAGGAAAGGGGTTCAGAAACGCACCTTGCCGGAATTCCCAGTCTTCAAAACTGCGAGAAATCAATTCCTATTGTTTAAGTCACCAGTCTCTGGTATTTTGTCATGACAGCAGAGTAGATTAAGACAACACCTCACCTGTGGGTGGAGCAAATTAGCCCAAATTGGGAATAAAATTATTTTAAGACGCCATGCCCACAGGATGCACCTGCCAGTTATTAACTACAGAGAGGAGTAAACAGGGAATTTCCCTCCCTAGAATTTAGAAAACCATGTGAGGGTGTTTTCTCCCCTTTGTTATATGGTAAGTGGATAAAAACTGTATATCCTATACAGTGACCCCATCTGATGAGAACAAGATTTCACCATCAATTCATAATTCAGTTAGAAAAGATAAGAGAATGGGAAAATCAAAGCTCTGCATAGAAAATGAACTGTTATATTTTTGAAAAGTATAATGATTTTAAAGAGATTATGTATTGTATATTCAGTATTTAACCTTAAACACCAAACTACAGTGAACACCCTAAATTACTCTGAATTTACTCAAACCCAAGGATTATTTTGTAAGCACCTAAGCTGAAGTTTTGTGTGTGCATGTTTCCAATAAGTGTGCAAAATTCATCTTGAAACTTCTTTGTTTGCAGTGATTAGATAATTTTCAAAAAAAGATCTGAACAAATCTTTTGAGTCAGTAGCCCTATTCCACTAGTGCCACTAATAAAATACTGCTCATTGAAATGTGGTTAGAATGAAATAGAATCATTTTTAAGTAAGTGACAGTTGATTTAATACTTGCTGAAACCTTGCATAAAGAAATATATACAAATACAATAATAATTATAACTTTTTAAATTTTTTATTGAATGATTTTTTTCACCAACTCACATAAAAAGAACGTACACTTGGGTTGAATTTCAGCTGTTTGGGACACAATTTACAAACCATTTTATCATAAGCTGATCAAATATTCCTTTGCATACTAATCAAAGACTTAACTCCCCTTTCATAAAAATAATAATGACAAATAAAATAAATTTGAACTCTGGCAAAATCAGTAACTTGGGTGTATCATGACAGAGAGAATGTGATCCCTCAAAACTGCCAGAAAGAGCAGACCAGAGATTAGGCGTGTAGTTCCTGAATTTCATGGTTCATTCATCTGCAAATTACTAAAATCCCTTGGAAATAAGGGCCTGGCCCTGGCTGGTGTTGCTCAGTGGGTAGAGTGTCATTTGTGCACCAAAGGTTCATGGGTTTGATTACTGGTCAGGACACATATCCAGGTTTCGGGTTCTGTCCCTGGTCAGGGCTCAGACATGAGGTAACCGATCGATGTTTCTCTCTCCCTCCCTCTTCCTCTCTCTCTAGAATCATTGAAAAATATATGGTTGGGGATTAACAAAAAATAATAAATAAGGACCTGAACGAACGCCCTTTTATAACCAACCATTCAGGAAATAGGTATAAAGTGCCCCAGGGCAGCCAGTGGACTCTCTGTCTGCTGAGGCTGCCTTGATGGCCAGACTGAGTGAACAGCCTTGGCCCTAATGAAAATAATCAGAACCTTCTTTTTAAAAGTATTCTTAGATCATATGCATTTTAAGGAATCTATTTAAAATTACTACTCAGAGAATTTGCCAAAAATAATATGCCTAAGGCCCTACAAAGAAAGCTGAATTTTTTCAAGGGGAAAAAAGACTCTGGCTTGAAAACGACGACGAGAATTGCTTGTCCTAAAAGCACATAGAGACTGTAGAGCATAAAGCAATGTGCCTTTCAAATGCAAGGATCATTGACGTCTAACTGTTGAGCTGTCTCCCCTTTGCATGCATGAAAAGTTCGTGGTTAGAACACTAGCTGAATAAAACCTTGAGACCTTAAAAGGCCTCAGCTTCCCTATTTTTAAACTAGATTTATTTCCTAGGATGAAGTATTTCTTTCATTTTAAACTATACACACACTTCAGCCCATATTTTTTTAAGCAGTAAAATAGTTGGCAGTTTTGTTTATAAAGCAATTCCTTGTAAGTCTTAAAAAAAAAAAAAAAAAAAAAAAAAAGCAAACAAAAAAACTAAAGTTTTGTCAAAACCGGTTTGGCTCAATGGATAGAACATCGACCTGCGGACTGAAGGGTCCCAGGTTCGATTCCGGTCGGGGGCATGTACCTTGGTTGCGGGCACATCCCCAGGTGGGGGTGTGCAGGAGGCAGCTGATGGATGTTTCTCTCTCGTCGATGTTTCTAACTCTCTATCCCTCTCCCTTCCTCTCTGTAAAAAAATCAATAAAATATATAAAAACAAAAAACTAAAGTTTCTCAGGCCCAAGTGAAAGCAATATAAACATGGAGGGCATGCACCGAATGGGCCCATCTCAGAACAGTCCTAACTGTTGCAAATGTTTTGCCTCTAACTCGGCCCATTTAATTTGCCACCAGCACCACATTAGATTCTTCTTAGAGTAGGACCGACCCTGGGAGCACGCCACTGAGAAATCATATTGTTGACAGCACTAGCTCGAAGCTTTAAAGTGTGTCTAATTCTTAAGAAGGCTAGAAGGAGAATAACAACAACAACAACAAAATTATTTTCCAAAAACCAAACCTACGACCATGCGAAGAAGAATAGATACGTGGCATGGAACATACCCATCCGATACCTTTACCCTACACGGCTTTTACATTCAGGGAAACCTGCTGATTTTGAGAAAGTAGATGTATACACACATGGACATGCTGTTCCTAGAGTTCGTGTCCAGGCATCCTCTGCGCGGAGATCTTGCTACAATAAAGGAACCGGTTTTCCTCTGCGCTGCGGGTCGCCCATGGCCTGGTTTCGGGGTGCCCACGGCCCGGGTTTCGGGGTGCCGTCCGTCACCCGGCGGTGCAGTCGGCATCCTGGCCGTGCATCCAGAGGCAGATCTGGGCGAACTTGAGCGGCGTGATGCGCACGGCCACGTTGTAGTCCTGCTGCTGGCCGCCCACGTGCACCCACTGGTGACCCGCGTGCACGGCGATGACCCTGCGCGCCCAGCGCCGCCCGGGCTCCCGCAGGCGCAGGTACACCCCGGAGCCCGCCGAGCCCGGCGCCGCGTCGCAGTGCTGGTAGAGCAGGTCGCGGGAGGCGTCGGACACGCTGCAGAAGCGGTACACCAGCTGGTCGGCGCGGTCCCGGTCGAAGCCGGAGAAGTGGATGCGGCCGCCGGGCAGCCCCCGCGGCGCCGGGCTGACGCCCAGCTCCATGAACTTCTGCTTGTGCGCGCGCTTCAGCTCCAGCAGCGCGTAGTCGTAGTCCAGGGCGGCGCCCTTCCCGCCCGAGGCCCAGCCTTTGGGGATGTGGGTGTTCTTGACCCGGGTCCACTGGAACGAGGGCCTGCCCTCGGCACCTCTGCCCTGGCCCCCTGGTCCTCTCCGACCCCCAGGCCCTCTCTGATCCCCAGAATCTTTCTGATCACCAGGTCCTCCCTGGCCCCCAGGGCCTCCCTGACTCCCAGGTCCTCCCTGGCCCCCAGGGCCTCCCTGACCCCCAGCACCTCTTCCCTGACCCACAGCACCTCTCTGACCCCCAGCAGAGCTCTTCCTTCTCCTCCCCCCAGCCTTGGCTCCCTCCTTGGGGTCCTCTCTGCTGCTGCCGCCCCCTCTCTGCGCATCACCTTCCGCTTCCCTCCTGCTCCTCCTGGAGCCCCGGAGTCTCCGGCCGCCCCGTTTCTTCCTCATCTTCAGCAGCCCCACCCGCAGCTTCCTGCTCCCCTTCACGTAGTCCCGCCCGTCGTGGACGCAGTGGGCTGCGGTCAGCACGTGCCGGGGGGACACGAGCACGCCGCTGCAGCCGGTGGACAGCTTCACGGCCGTGCTGAACGGGAAGCTGGTCAGGAACCGCTTGTCTGAGATGCTGAACCGGCTGTCGGTGCCGTACACCTGCCTCCTCCTCCTCCTCCTCCTCGCGGTGGTGTTGTGCGCGGGCCCCGGGGGCTCCGGGGCCAGGCCCTGCACCCTCACTCTGGTCAGGGTGCGGGTGCCGTTCTCAAAGACGGTCTCGTAGGAGAGAGCCTCCTCCAGGTCCCACAGGCTGGGCGCGGGGAGCTCCTCCTGGCACTCGATGCCACACACGTTCCTCAGCACCATCTGGGCCTCCGCCTCGAACTTGGGGCTCGTGAGCTGGAAAGTCCTTTCCCGGACAACCCGGGGCACTTTCCCCAAATGCCACATGGCATCCTGCTCCGTCTCTGACCCACCAGTGAGGGCCCACCCCAGGGTGAAGAGGATCAACCACAGGAGCGTCTTGTCCATTTTATTCTTCTCTTTTGTCTTTAAAAAAAGAAATAGAAAGAGAAAAGAGGAGCTTTACAACATATTCTTCTTAAATGTTATTTATCCATGTCATTTAGGCCTTGGATCCAATCTTCACCATAAACAGGACTCCTGTAATTGTCCCTGCATTTAGATTTTATTGTGATTAATCACCCTGTAAAGTAGGCTCATACAGGTTTCCAAAATCAGTAGATGGTTTTTCCTCCAATCTTCCCATCACCAGCCCTAACTCTGCCCCTCCTCCAGCCTGCCATCTCCACCTCTACTGCCCCAGGCAGCCCAATGGGTAGGACAGTAGGAAGGGGTAGCTAACTGGGGGGGTCTCTACTGCCCAAGGCACACTCCTCCTTCCTAGGTATCCAGCAACCTTATTTCCAGATGACTTAGACAGACAGGGATGAGCAGATGGCCCGCACTTCCCTGCACTTGGCTCCTTAAACGCAAAAATCATAAGGTTCCTCATCTTTAGATCCTCGCACAGAGCTCAAAAAAGTGTTCATTAGAATATAGTGGATTTCCCAGGACCATGGTTTGTGGACCAAGCTGATGGATTATATAATTGAAGTCACCAGATACTATTCTAAAAGCCGTAGAGGCTTATGAAATAATACATGGGGCCATCTGCTGTTGACCTGCTTTGATTTTTAGAAGCAGAGCCCCTTATCATAAAAAAATATTATCTAAAGTTAGAAAAATGTACTCTGCCCTTTTTTTTTTTTTTTTTTTTTTTTTTACAAAGTTGTGCCTGGAACTACCATCTATGGCCAAGCAACATACAAACATATATCATAGTGGGCTTTTCCTCTATGTTAACATTAATTACAAGAATTTATGGAGCGCAGGCTATGACTCGGAATCGGCTACTTGAGGGAGCAGGGTAGGGATTACGTACGGTCCCATTCATCAGGGTCTCCTCCTCCGAGAGCAGTGGTTCTGTGTTAAGCAATTTTAGAGTTGTGAGTGCTGATCAATCATACGTTACATCTTCTTGTATTTACCTCTCCTGGCCCTCCTTCCCTGCCTCTCTAGGCTCACAGGTACGTAAATCTGTAGTGGAACTGATGTTTGTCAGTGCGGCTTCCTGAAGGTGGGGTCAGGGGTGGCACGTTTTGAAGCAGCAATTTTAAAATTTACAAGCTTTGTTCCATATCATTTTTAACTAACAACCAAATTATCCAGCTTAGCAAATGATTTGCATTGAGTATAGAGCAGAGGCAAATTCAAAATTACAATATTCCTACAACCTTTGGACACTCAATGCCTTCTGCTAAGTGTGTGTGTGTGTGTGTGTGTGTGTGTGTGTGTGTGTAAAACAAAGGAATGAAGAATGTTAGGAATGTTCCTTAACCCAGGGAACACCCATAGGATCCTGTGTACCGGCATGCAAACCACAAGTTATCTCTGAGGCAGAGTCAAATACGACATCGCTTGACAGAGCAGAGTTTATTTTGCCGTATTGGAGTACAAAATTTTATTAATAAATAGCATTCTTTGATAAAGCATATACTACATAACCTCTCCATTGTTAAACATGATATATTCACCAAAATATGAAACAATTCATTGGAATCACCATACACTGGAACATATTAAACAAATTTATAAAATATTTACCATGACTTGGCATCAGCAAGATTACATAGAAGTTTTGCAAGTTTCATTTTTTGGATCTGCTCACACTTGAATGCTGAATAATGGTGATTCAGTTAATATTAGACTGTAATGGTTAAGTACCTTGTAACCTATCTTGTAACTTGTTTTATTTGGGGAAATAATGGATATTGTCCAAAATTCATAAAGAATATACTTTGGGAAAGAATCCATAGTCATGGGACAATTTTGTCTAATCATTACCATGGCAAATTTGACTTTATCAGAGCAGTATTTATATTGATAATGATTTCGTTGAGCCACTTAGTATTTTCTTTTGTTGTCTTCTATGCAATTTGCACAATGAATATTTCATCAATTTTATGTAATTGTGTTGGAGTGATTCGGTAATTCCATGAAGACCTTGAAATCCTGTGCTTAACTGGATAGTTTCCACAATGAAAAATTACCTATGTCTTTGCACAAAAAAAAAAAAAAAGCTAAAATCAGAGTTATTTGTTGCCTCTCAGCTTTCAACAGACTAAAATAGATGATGGATAAAAAGAGGTATGTATTTTATCTACCTGATTCTCAGCAAAATTTCAATTAAAGGAGCTTTTCAGTCTGGAAAACAAGTTTTAAAAGTTAATTTTTTTTCTTCATGGCTGGTTTTGCTTAGTAGTTAAAGTGTTGGCCTGCAGACCAAAGGGTCTCAAGACTCAATTCCTGATCAAAGTAATGTACCTCAGTTGCAGGTTCAATCTTCGGCCCCACTAGGGAGCATAGAGAAGGCAACCAATCAATGTGTCTCTCTCACATTGAAGTTTCTAACCCCCCACCCCCACTTCCACCTACTCCCTCCCTTCCACCTAATCCTCACCCCCCCCAAAAAAAAATATTCTTGGGTGAGGATTAAAAAATTTTTTAATTTTTTTCATTTAGCCCTTTATGATCATAGCTGTCCATTGTATACTTAATACAGCATGTGATTGCATCAAAGACTGAAAGTCAGCCATATGTCTTCACTGAGAAATACAAAGCATCACTTTGTACATATAAACACTTGATACTGATGTTCTGTGGAGTAATAATGTGGAATGTCATTCCTAGGCAAACAATGATGCCCCAAATCATGGTGCTGAGGTACTATTTCCCCAGTTACTTTTACTTTCTGGATGATTTAATTTAGTCCTGCAACTTTTTATCTACGTAGGGATTAGAAAGGAAGAATGTAACTATTAAATAACTGACAAGATGATATTCTACTTTGCAAATCATGGAACTATTGATAGAATATGAACAAAAATATAGAAATGTCCCTTCTCTGTACGAAATGAAACATGTGCCCTGGGTCCTCACTCTGTAGGCAGACTTTTAAGAAAGCCCCATGTAATCCTTTTATGCACCAACTTGACTAGGCCACAGGGTGCCCAGGTACTCGGCTGCACATTATCCTGGGTGTGCCTGTGAGGGTGTTTCCGGATGAGACTGACATTTGAATTAGCAGAATGAGCAAAGCAGTTTATCTCCTCAATGTGGGTGGGCCTCACCCAATCAGGTGAAGGTCTGAGCAGAACGAAAAGACTGACTTCCCTGTGAGTAAGGGGAAGCACTTCCTGCCTAGCAGCTGTGAGCTGAGGCATTGCTTTTATTCCTGACCTGCGACTCAAAAATAAAATATAAACAACTCAGAAGAACGTTATTAATTTGTTAATGAAATTCTATATTTGGTGTCTGGCAAACTATAATACCTGTCATATCGAAGGATGCCGAGCTTGTACTCCCCAGAGTAGCCAGGTTGGCATCACCCAGGAATGTGTTAAAAATGATCATTTCAGGACCCAACCACCTACTGTCCAAAACTCTCCTTGTTGAGGGCAGGTTCCCGGTTATCTATGTTTTAACCAGCCTTCCAGGCAATGCTGATCCTCAGTGCAGTTTAAGAATCACAATAAACCCAGGCCCTAGTATAGCAGCTTGAGCCCCACCCTGGAAGGCAGTCTTTCCAGGGATGGTTGCTTAACCAGGTTTCAAATGACATCTGCTCCATGTGTGTGCACAAAATCAGTTTATTCTGAAGTTTGCTCTTTTGCTATCTTAGCAACTGCTAACAGTGAATGGTTCAGTGATTTAATAAGAAAAACAAAATAACTTACTTTTATATCAGTGGCTTGATAAGAGATCTGAAAAGTTTCAAATTCAGTAGGCTGGTGTGAGATGCCTCCAACATCTGATGCCACAGATGGCGCAATGGCATGAGTTGCCCAGCCCTGTCTGGTGCCCGTGGAGCGAGCTCCACAAAAATAAAAGCCGTGCCCACATCTATCCTTGGGCACGGGAAGGGCACAGCCTTGTAACATGACCTCAAAATCCCGGTAATAAGAGGACATGGATTTAGTTAGCTTAATTTGGCCTGTAATTTAAAATTGGACAAATGCTTGTGGATGCTTTCCTTTGGAAAATCTAAGTTTGCCTGGTGGTAAAATGTCAATGTAATGTAAATGACAGCTCTCGCTGATAGAGCAACCCATGGTTCATTGGCTCCATCTACATAGGCCCAACATTCAAAACGCACTAACTCATTGACCTAACAAGATGCAGTCCCCATTGGTGGAGCATCTATATTTTGAAATCTATAACATTCCTTGTCTTCCCTTATCTTCTTCCTTTGATCCAATATTCCATTAGAATTGTGACCTTAACTGTCACTTTCCTGATGGTGTTGAAGCTTCCTTTTGATTAATGAAAGTGAGGTTGCAGTCATGGCTCTCCACCATGAGTCAGTGTACACACAGTTGATTGTGGGTTGGAACATAGAAATAAATGGAGTAGATGGGAATCAGGAAGGAAGCAAGAATACCAGGGTATGCAGATGATCTTGTACTGATAGAGCAAATACTACTGCACATTTGGACCTGATCATTATTAACAGAAATGACCACCTAGATTCTAGAACTACAAAAGATGACTTACTACTTTTTGTTTGTTTGTTTGTTTGCTATGCTCTCAGAAAGTGACTGTGATAGTATATAGAATATCTGGTCTGCACGTGTAACCAGCTGGTATGAGTTGCAGACCATGGAGTGAGAAGACTTAGGTTAAGTCTCATCTTTACCACTTATGAGGCATATGGACTTGGGAAGTTCATTAAGTTCCATCCTCACCTGAAAAGTGGGGATAATAATGATCTCTACCTCATATCATAATGGTGGGCATTAAATGAGATGATATTTGTTCTCACCAATGAGCCCAAATGATAAGCATCAATAACAGGTTCTTTCATCATTATTGTTCTACCTCCATGGGTCAATTAATATTACTATAAATTGGTACAGCCACTATGGAAAACAGTAGGGCAGTTCCTCAAAAAATTAAAAATAGAGTTACCCTATGACCCAGAGATCCCT